CCAAGGAACCAAGGAACCAAGGAACCAAGGAACCAAGGAACCAAGGAACCAAGGAACCAAGGAACCAAGGAAGAACCCGAGAAGTTGTAAAAAGTAAGTTTCCCTTATTATTACCATCAAAAAAATACCTTACTCTGATAATTTTTTTGTTTTTAATAAGTCGTACCTCCATGACACGAATAGGCTGTTTTGAGCGATAAAAACGTATGGACCTCTCGATCAGGTATAGGAACATTGGTCCAATTACCCAACGCCAAGTCTGTGAACAAGAGCTAGTTAATTAAGTCTTCAGTAACAAACTATACTACAATAAATTATAATTAAAGCGTTTGAATGTACACAAAAGGCGCTACAGAGGCTTTGCACCATCATGTGATGGCAGCCATGACAGGAGGCACAACAGTAGTTGTTGTTTCCCCCTGGAAAACTGAGCTCTTTCTCTTGTAAATCGGATTAGACCTGATTCAATTGTTCCTGCCCCCTGTCATGGCTGCCATCACGTGATGGTGCAAAGCCTCTCTATATATTTCAGTAGGTAGATTTTTTAAATCTCAATTCAATCAGTACAAATGATAAGCCAATCAGAACTCGTTATTCCCCGACCAATCAAATACTAGATACGCACCAGCTAATGATGTATACACATACTCACGTTCATTCCAAAGGTTACAAACTTAGGAGGCTCAAGGCAGGGTTCCTGACGGTACCATAAGGTAAGATTCTTGCCACAGATGTCTGGATCGTGTTTGTCTACATTAGACTGGTATCTTATCACACCTCTGATAATAATTATTAAATGATTATTATTGATTATTCATAAAACGCAACTAAACTGCGGGTARAGGTTGTTTTTCTTCCCCTTCATAGGGCTGGGCGGCAGGTTGGGATCTTTCCCGACCTAAAACGTGAACAGAAGGCAGAAAACGGACGTCCTCTACAAGCAGAGTAAAACGCAACTGGAACTGGGGGAACAGGAAAGTCGATATTATGGCTGTCTTTCTCTTATTGGATAACGATTGCGGCAACCATGCAACAAAATTGCAATACAAGATTTTGGTATACGCGAAACAGGTATTACCTAGTCTAACACCGCCTTTGCAGTGAAGTTATCTCCGCGATGGTAATTAAGGTATCAGTCAATACTTACTGTACACCATGAAGAACGAGCCCAATGTAGAATAATACAAAACAATGGTGATTGTACCAGAAAACTTCGAAGTATGAACGCCTGCAAAAGAAAACTACAGTTAGATTATAGCAAGCCAGCAATAAAGAAAGCAACGAAGCAACGAAGCAACGAAGCAACGAAGCAGAGACTGAGGCTATTGAAATCATTGTTTCTATTTTTTTACCTTATTAGTTCAGTGGAAGATGAGATCTGAAAAAAAAAAGGATCATGAAAATGATAAAAATGGAGGAAGATGTAGTTAAATAAAATTGAATAAAAATCTATATTTACCATGAGTATCAGAGCCAAAGTTATGACAGCACCAGTCACACCAGAAGCTGAAAAGAAAATGATAGTCTCGATCTCTTGAGTATGTAAGAACTTATTTGCAAAAAAATGAATAGAAATTATATACCCTTTGATTGACTATATAATGTACATACCAAGTGTAAATAAAACTGCTATGGGGTCCTAAAAATGAGAAAGTAATAATGAGAAAAGCTCTAGGATAATTTCTTTAAATGTAATTTATTTATTGTTTGCATGTCTTGTTCTCTCCCCTAATACAAAGGGCTCCCAAAGATCCGTCATTTTCTTACAGCGTTTGGATCTCTAATTGGGTTGATGTAAGTCTCGTTTCCAATGTCCTCTAGCTGAGAAAGCTTGCTGTATATTCCGCCTTTGTTCCACGCTAATATGAGAAACTCGACATTGAAGATGTGTGCCACACAGTGAATGACTGAGAATAGAAAAATGAAACTTTATTTAAAAGGGGGACAGGCTAGGGGGACAGGCTAGGGGAACAGGCTAGGGGGATAGGCTAGGGTCACAGGCTAGGGGGACAGGCTAGGGGGACAGGCTAGGGGGACAGGCTAGGGGGACAGGCTAGGGGGACAGGCTAGGGGGACAGGCTAGGAGAAACTCGACATTGAAGATGTGTGCCACACAGTGAATGACTGAGAATAGAAAAATGAAACTTTATTTAAAAGGGGGACAGGCTAGGGGGACAGGCTAGGGGGACAGGCTAGGGGGACAGGCCAGGGGGACAGGTGGACAGGCTAGGGGGACAGGCTAGAGGGACAGGCTAGGGGGACAGGGGGACAGGGGGACAGGGGGACAGGGGGACCTCACCTGTTTGTAGACAGATCATATATGCGATGTACTTGTGAAAAGTAACGTTCTTATCCAGCAAACGAAGGAAGCTCCTGCTGCACTGTTAACCAAAACATCAGCATTATAAGTTTTCTCTCGCGTGATGTGGAAAAATAGGATTCGATTCTATTTCCTTTACACAAGTTGACTTACAATCATAGACCTCTACTTGGGAGCAATATTTTCCCAATTCAGAACGTTTTGTTTAACGGTTGCACATGACAAGACACCTTAAAGTGCCTATGGCACCTAACTCATAATCTTCAGCATTGATTCTAAATAAGGTGAATGGTTCAAAGATTTTTTCGATGCGTGATCCCCAACTAAATATTGCCTTACTCACCTTACACGTGCCTCGGATGAAGGACAGTAGATTCCTACACATGGTTAGTAGAATCAACATACAGTTGAAGTTTAGTACAGCAGCAGGTGCACGTGCCAATGCCAGGCCAAACTGTGGAGTATAAATGAGTAATACATATGATTCAAGTTAGCATTACATGCAGTGCATTATTGGACTGTTTTAGAAGAAGAGCAAATGATAACGCCACCTTGGAAATATGTCCTCCAAAAAGTCCAACGATGCGCTGCAATGCCAACTCGACCCAGTTTTGTCCTCTACGATGCGCATGAATATATAATGAGATATGAAGTACTTGAACAGCGGTTTATCCACGTATACTGCAGGCGTCGCGCACCTCATCACGCCTGGAGGTGGCTGGATGGTGGAAGGGGTAGGGTTAGCCTATACCCAACATCTCTCGAAGAGAAATCCTGGATTTGTCCACCAAATATCTCCAAAACGAAAATTAACTCATAGAAATTAATATAAATTTTGTATGCTAAATAAATTACTAATACGGACACCCAGTATCGAGCCTTCCAAGTCTTTACCTTAACAAGTTTGTTGAGGTAGACATTCTCTTTCGTAGTGGACAGCTTGTAATACGTATCTACAAACAGGTAGATATTTATGGCCATCCAGATGATCTGAAACAAGAATGGAACCGCTTGTAACGAAACATCCAGCTGATTTGGGGAAAAACGTTAACCAATCAGAGTCGAGAAAATTTGCAAAACCGGGGTGTCACTTTTCCTCTTGAAATTACGGAAATGAAAATAATAACGTTGCTAATACGCCCTTGATAACAGTGACACAATAATTAACGAGTGTTTCATATTTTTATTCGAATGGTGGTCATGTTTTTATTTTTCGCTAATCAATTCAACACGACACCTCAGTTTCAGTTCGCAGTAACGCCACAGGGGCGAGTCCAGGATTTTTTTAAAGGGGAGTTTGTAGCATTGATTGAGGTACTTGTTTGGCGGGAAAGTAGCACAGGGTTCCCAAACGGAAGTAGGTCTTATGATAATGATTATTTGCTGCAGGCGACTATGTTTGTTTCAGGTCCCACACACGGCGTATAGAAAAAAAAGCGAGCGAAATGTTTTCGGCACCCCTGTTTTAATAAAACTCGCGATGCTATTGGTGTTGTCATGAAAAAGTAATAATATATAATAAATCACGATGGCTCTCATAGGGGGGGTTGCAACCCCCAAAACCCACCCCTAGATCCGCCACTGCACCATTTCTAAGTCAGTATTTCAGATCAGCTGGATATGCTCTTGATCGAAGCTACATCATACCTGATCTGAGAAATTCTCTCGCATTGCCGATTTTTAACAATTGATAACATAGAAGGATGGGGAGTTCGCCATCACTTGCCAAAGCCTACCTCTCTTTGTTCCTTACTCCACTCCCCAGTTCCATACCAGTAGTAATTTGTCTAACTCTCTATTTTCATTTTAGTCGGATTCGTAAAGGACAATTATAACCTCCTTGTCTTTCAACTACGTGTATCTATACTTYGTGCGAATAAATAGAATATAACATTATCATGATCATATATAAAGAGTCAGCCTTACGTCACGAAACAAACATCCTGCCCGACGTAACGCAATGCGTCACGTTGTCAAAAAATATTTTTTCCAGTTGAATATAAATGTCGATGCAATTTACTGCATAATATAATATGAGGCTAAAATGAACCCTATGGTACAGGATATGTACTTCACTTTGTTACTCGTTGCTTTTTGTATTCATTGACAAAATATTCGAGCATTGGAATTAGTTTCGAACAAACAAAGAAAACGAAGGACCGTGACCTTATCCTGTTTTGGAACCTCATGCAAATGAACACAATTGACATCTAAATATCATCCCCGGTAAAGTATAGAGTCCTTAGATTAGTAATATTGCAGCATTTTAAAATTAAGCAACTTCATGCTTGATGGGCTTCCCTCGAATAAACTTATTCTATTCTATAACTTAATTTCGTCCATATTATCGTAATTAATCTGATTAATTTTCTGGCTGTAGAAAACGCTCATTGCTTAGCAATTCTTTGTTTAAAAAATCAAAATAGGTTTGCTTATCATACTTTAAAATGTTTTTATTTCTGAATCCTGAATCACTTAATAAAAGTAAAGTATAAAAGACTTGTTGTAGGAAAATATCTCAAATGAATATCTTGTTAAGTGTTTGTTTAAAGATGAAATTCACAAGGCAATACGGTACTTACGAGAACCACATCTTTAAGGACGTCGTTTGATATCCTAGCCATGAATAACAGCACAAAATACTAATATACTTAAACTTGGTCAGTTCAGTCTTCGTTTGAAAGGATGCCAGAGTGTGCTGAAGCACAAGCACAGCCAGGAATCTCAAGTCAAATAAGCGGTTAAACTTTAATTTCAGCTGATTGTTTTGTTTATAGCCTATAGAGTGTTATTCATTAACAGCATTCCAGAATTGGAGCGATTAACAATGGTTATAATAAAGACAATAGGATTCAGTCTTTTTCATGGTAAAAATAATTACATAGAACGTAATTGTTTTCGAAACAGGCTACTTAATAAGGAAAGCTGTTTCTCGCTTGAAGGCAAGTCAAGTTGAAAATACCGCTTAATGACCTTGACTAGCTTGGACTCATTTAGCCTCGTTTGAAGAGAAAACTATTTGAAAATGTCACCTATCTTGTAAAGGACACCTTGAACAATATACTGTATTGCAGGTTTTCAATCATCCCCAAGAGAATGACACGGCGGCCATGTTGGTTGATGCAACAAAATTCATTCAAGATGGCGGCTGTTAAAACCATCAACACCAATTTTTCGAAACATGGTATGTGAAAGGACCTGAAAGCTGATTCATAAACGAGTCTAAACCTGTGTAAATGTTCTGTGTTCGTCACTAGGGACCGGGGGAGGGCTTGGGCTTCGAAATGGAAGGTCATCAGTATATCACTTATAAACGAGTCTAAACCTGTGTAAATGTTCTGTGTTCGTCACTAGGGACCGGGGGAGGGCTTTGGCTTCGAAGGGGAAGGTCATCGGTAATAGTTTGAGCTACACTGATGTATTTTAAACGAGTCAAACCTTATTTTGACGAAAGCTGTTTCCTTGCAGGGCCTTATAGACACTTCCGGTGAGGCAAGCGAGGCAGTTGCCTTGGTAAATGTTACAAATTCCCCTCAAAACCCAGGAAATCGTGTTTCCGATAGTCTCAATTGCAAAATATTCCGGGGGTGAAAGTCCCCACCCCCCACCCCCACCCCCTGGCTTAATAGACCCCTCGCACTGAGTCCCGAGAGGATTTGTTCTGGGGGACAAAATAATGGGATTTTTGAATTTTCGCATAAGAAAAGACGGCCTATTGTTTTGTCTCCGAGAACAACTCTTCTAGGAAATCAGGTCTATAGGAGCGTCATATAGTTTTGAGTGCGTTAAAGGGGAGAGGGCTACAACTATTTTTACAGTACAATGTTTACAGCGAATCCCCCATTCTCCCCACAATAATGAAAAAAAAAAAAAAACGCACCTTCTGCTATAATAATAATAATATCCTGAAAACCTGCCAAATTAAAGTAATTAAAAAAACCTATTACTTTTGACTTGATTCAGCTGTATGGATCAATAATGTCTTTTTTATAATAACTCCACACCACAAGTATTGAAAGTCGTGCGTCGATTGGTTCTGATTGGCTGCGCGAACGGCCGGTATTTTCTATCTGTGACAGCTCTCGAGTGTACCCAGGGTTAAAGAATTGCTATAAAACAAGAACAGCACATCGCAAAACAAGTTAAAAAATAAATGTATGGAAAAAAGTTAATGTCCTAAAGTAGGAAAACTGAAACTGGACCCTCGGTCTGAAAGCCTATGTCCAAGACCTCGGACACAGTTAACGTTTGTTTCTCTACCGGACATCTTTCCCGGTAAAAAAACATATGTATGTAATACATATAATGTAATATATAAGATATATATTTACGGGAAATATCTGTGAAGGTTTCTAATAAACTAATAATGGCATAGAATATGACATAGGACCTAGAATATTCCAATTCGGATTATCATTCGAGTAAAAAAATATAAAAACAGGTGTTCCAAGATTGACTGTATAATTAACTACTTCAGCCAATAAGGCCGCTTATTTAAGGCACAAAAATTATTAAAAATCGTCTGGCGTCGAACCAAAAGAACATATCAAGAAAAAGTGACAATAAAGCAATCAAATTAAAACATCGAATATTCAGGTTTTGGGATTTATCTGAAAAAAGAAATTTATAGTTCCTGTTAAATATTGTTTGGCACAACTTTAATGACAGAAACTCCTTACTCGTGTTTAGTTTGCAAGATGTCAAGATAAGATTGAGTATAGTAAGAGCCTCCTGCTTTGTAAACTAAATGCCATCAAAATCTAGCTTTGCAGTAATTAAAAATACAATAACCCTACAAGTTGTCGGCCAAGACAGATGCCAAAATATATATTGAGACAGCCGTGTCTTGTTGACCAAAAGGCATTGATAAGTTTTATATGGGAAAACAACATGCGATAAAACCTATAAAATTTCTTCAGGTTAAATGAGTAAAGAGGACGGGAATAACGAAGAATTCAGTGCCCCTTCGACGGAATGGATGGAAGCTGGAAAAAGATAAACGTCAGCTTGAACAAAAACACTGAAAATGGGACATCAACTGATATGCTGGTCATAACAGGCTACCATGTTTTTATTGGGATTGTATTTGTACTAATATCCCTGATAGGAATCATTGGCAATTCCTTGGTGCTTGTCGTCGTCAAAAAGAAGACAGCTATGAGAACGACTACGAATTTTCTTCTTGCAAATCTAGCGACGGCTGACCTTGTGTCGTTGCTTGGGCTTCTCCCAAAGGTATTTCATTCGTTTGTCAATCACAGAGATCCGGATCGAGTTGTTCAGTACATTTGTATGTTTTTGACGGCAGGGAATTTAAGTGTCATTGCTCTTGGTGTGTCAATCATCACTCTTGCTATTCTAGCATTTGAACGTTATATGGCTTTGTTAAAACCAATGAGAGAGAAATGGCGCTTGAATAAGGAGAATGTGAAGTACGCCATCATAGGTTCATGGATGCTGTCGATAGGAATAACATTTCCTTATTTCCTCCGGACCACCTACAGCCAAACCCACAAAGGCTGTGTACACATTTGGGCCAGTCATACTGAACAACTGATCTACCTAACTACCATTTTTATTTTCGTGTTCATTATGCCGTACTTGATGATCATTTTTGGTTATTTCTCGATAATCAAAGGGATCTACTTCAGCAATCAAATATGCCCAATGGATACTGGGAACACTGAAGCTGATGCGCGCTCAAAGAAACGCGTAGTCGAAGTGCTTCTGATTGTGACTTTATCATTTTCCACCTGTGTTGGTACCTTTGCTTTGGTCAATATGCTCAAAGAACTCGGGATCGTAGATGGGAATAGTGTTGTATTTCACTTGGCCAGTGCTCTTCTCTTTGCAAATTCCAGTATCAACCCTATCATCTATGCTTTCCGCAGCTCCAATTATAAAACAGCCTTCAGAGAAATCATAAAAGGAAGTATTTCTGTGCAGGCGTAGAATTATAAGATGATCCCATACAATATTTATCCTATCTAGCTCGTGTACAGTACGATTTCATTTATGATTACCGGTCTTAACCAGAGATTGAGTCGGTCGGGCTGCGTGCACTGCGTGCTGGGCAGAGACTGTTTTACCATACAACTAAATGTAAACCGCTATCTAATTTAGCTAATTATCTTATTTAATTAATAAAAACTGTAATGATAAATTTGCAATTCAACTGTACGAATAATACAAAATAACCCAACCTAATACAGGACGAATTTCTTGATGTCTTAGCAATATATGCTTAAATATCAGTGCATATAAAACAATTAAATTTAGTGGATATACTCGCCTGTCGACATTCTGGAAATCTACCTTTCGAAGTGGCATGTAAAGTGCTTTAGAAAAGCCCGGAAGGGTGTCTCAATTCTTTCAAATGCGCTTCTTATTGAAGAACTAGGGATATTGCATTATTCAAGCTCAAAGTAAGCCCCATTGTAAATAACTGTACATGATTAAACAGCGAATTGGTTAATCATTTCATGTGTAAAATATTTGAGCAGTTACATACAAGAATACTCGTAAATGGGTCAACAGTCCGTATACTTTGTTTAGACGTGTGTTCAATATGATTGATGCAAAGAATCAGGCATCTATGTTTATTCACATTTCCTACCAGTTTCCGCTATAAGCAAAGCAGGAATCTGACCATATTTAGCCGATGAGCCGTTTTTATTTTCTGACGATATAAAGAATCTTATAGTAACACCATTACAGGTAACAGCGTTCTTCCCAAAAATCCCTCTGTGAGCTGGTGGCCCTAGAAGTAACCCTGATAAGGTATACCGAACACCTTTTTTTAGCTTCACAGGACGAGTAAACTTAACGACAAAGGTCCTCTGTGATGAAACTGTTCGGTAATTCCCTTTCTTCCATCCCAGTGTCCTTTCTTGGTTGTCTTTGACTTGAATCGTGACGTCATGACTGCCTGAGCCTGAGTATACCCCCCACAGGCGATATCCAATGAGAGTGACGTCACGACTCACAATTACGTCTACTGCATCGGCTGCACCTGTGTGGAGCCAGCTTCCTCCTGAGGCACCCGAGATCATTCTCCAGCAGTCTGATATATAGGTGACAGAGAGACAGAAAAATGGTCAGTAGAAAAATTTAAATACACCTAATCGGCTAACGTGTTGCTATGTAAGTTACCACCCAATTCAAACCTTCTGGGAATAGTTTTCATTGTTCGTTATATTTTGGTTTCACAGTTGAATTCGTAGAGACAAACGTTTCTATTCCCAGAAGGTTTGAATTGGGTGGTAACGTACATAGCAACACGTTAGCCGATAAGGTCTATCAAATCATGTCACTAAATTTAAAAGGCCAAATAATGTCTATTGCTTTGAAATGGGAACAAATTACACACTCCAACATGTGAAGATATTTATTTCCATTTATTACGAAAATAGTTCAATTGTTATCATTTTCTAATAAGATAGCCAAGATATAACACGCGCTCTGTTAATTACCGTGGACGCGTGCGCGATTGCAAAACTTGATGGAAGCACGCTAATGGGAAATGACCAAAAAAATCACTCCAAGGGGTCCCAACTCCATAAAATATAGAGTTCTACATAAAACGCTTGCATGAGCTTTGTATCATTTTCTAGTAACGAAAGGCGATCGTAAGATATTCGTTTTCTAAAATGCATGTTTAGAATACATACCAGATGAAATAGCAGTTGAGCGGTCCACATACAGACTGGTCAAATGCCTCACGGCCCCAAACTTGTTCATCGCTTCACAAACGTATGTCCCACTGTCCATGGTCTTCAGACCTCGTATGGTTAATGTGCCATTAGAAAATACTGTGCTACCAACAGGGAGGGATCGTAGTGGTCTAGTCCACCTTACCACAGGGTAAGGATTACCGTCCACTGTACACGTCATAGTGACATCACAGGATTGAAATGCGGTTAGCGAAGCCCTTGGTGTCAGTTCGAATACAGGTGGACCTAAAGGAAAGGTACCGATACCGCGAGTGATCACAATTCATTTGAGTATGAACGAGGCACTGATAATTCAGTGAAGTGTACGTTCTATAATGTGATGCGGTAACCAAAAAATAAATTAATTAACTTTATTTAACGAGGGTGCCATAAATTACTGGTAGCCCAGTAGTTTACATTATGGCCCTCCTACAATAAATTAATGAAACTGAAATGAATGAACAAAGAAACATAAAGTGTGTTAAGAATCCCAACTGGCAAGGAGGCAAACCAGTGGGCTATTCACGAGCATGGTCGAGAAACTGAATCTGAACTAATCAGGAATCKGGACCAATACAGTCTCAGCTAGTGGTCACAGCGGGACTCGAACACGGCACCACCGGATTGCGAGACCGACGCTATGACCACTCGACCATGCTGCCTCCCTAAACCTTGCATTAGTGTTGTACGTTTTACCATTAACGACCAATCACTTGGGAAGGGGGGAGGCCCCATTTTATTACACATCATGTTGTGATAGACAACGACTCTGTACACATGTCAAGATGCATCTATTAAGGGCCTATTTTTGCATAAATGGGGGTGTTCCGCTGCTAGGGCTAATTTGTTCGGACTAATTGCTAACTAAACTATATTTTGACAAGGAAAACCCATTCCATTAAACTCATACCCCTTGTATTAAGAAGGAGTTTGTATGTTAATGTACACTTACAAAATGATGATACTCAGCTACACTCATTTCTTACCCTGTACGACGAGCATGACATCCTGATGATCAGTTCCCAAGACATTCTTAGCCACACATGTCAAGTTCCCTGCATCACTGTACTGAACGTGTTTCACTATTACCCTTCCTATCTTTGCAGTATTCCACTGAGAAGGTAGCTCTTTCCCATCTTGTTGCCATGACAACTCGGGTTTTGGGTTGCCTGTGGCAGAGCAAATAAACTCTGCTGATTGGTTAACTTGGACAGTCAGACGAGTAGGTGATACGATGACGTTGGGTGCAGAGATTGACATGCCAGGATCTCCCTTGTCTCCTTTCTCCCCTTTCTCTCCTTTAGGACCTCTTGGACCTTTTGGCCCAGGCAATCCCATCATCCCTCGCTTACCGCGTTGACCGGGTGGGCCCATAGATCCTGGCGGACCTATATTAGACATATACATTATATCAAAAATATTCCTAAGCTTAATGCTGGGATCTACAATGACGTTATTGGTATTAATAATAATTAATAGTATTTACTTTTGGTCCAGTTGGTCCCCTTTTACCTTGTTTGCCCCTCGGGCCCCTTCTCCCTATGGGTCCTCGAGGGCCCCTGGGTCCTTTAGTTCCTGCACAACTCCTAAAGGGACAATGTATTGTATTATTGAGAGACATGRTCTGACGAAGTGTTTCTTGACGCACGTCGTCCATGGTAATCTTTGATGTAATTTCGTGGCGTCTGCTTCTCGTATGCTGATTCATGTTTACACTATTTGGACTATGAAGCTGTTGGTCTTTGACTGAAAAGAAATGCAGATATATTTTAAGAGTCTGAGTGTATACATAGATTGTCAACTTTCTCAGATTTTTTGACGCATATGCAATATCTCCGTAAATATAACATGAAAAGCGTAAGTTTGGGTTACCTGTGGTTAAGTATAGTTATCAATTTCAAGGTCATTGATGGCAATGTTTTTGTCAGGACGTATTCTCACATAATATCCAAATTAAAAACACATCAATTAAAATCCAAAATATTTTCATAGGTTCTAATAGTTAATGCTAAACATACAAGAATAAAAGCGTTGGCATCACAAGTACAATAGATGATCTAGATATTCAATTATTGTGAGTTTAGTTTCTTACCAGTGTTGATCAGTTGATGGACCTTGTCTTCAAGCTGTCTTACTCGAGCTTTCTGTTCACGAAACTCATTGAACATAATTTCATTCCTCGCRAACATCACCACACAAAGAACAAGACACACACTCGACAAGAACAACGACTGAGTCGACTGTCGAATACACTTTCCTCCCTTCTTGGTGACATTCGCGTTTTCTATTTGTTGTGTGTCTGCCATTCTGATAAAGACCACGATACACGATGTTTTAAAGTCTTTATCTCGGTTTATATATCCATTGCCATGACGTCACAGAAAGGACAGAAGTCATGGGTAGCTAAGTCTACAGGAATAGTATTGCACTCCACATTATCCTCAGTCGGGTCCGAGGGGAAGTTACTTGGCTGTCTGTGCAGCCTCATCCTTCCTTCCTCCGCTGGACTTGAACTCAAAAAATAGACATTACCAATTTTGAGAATGAAAGAGTTTAATTAATCAGAGTTAAGCCCCTTTTACGCAAATAATATGTTATTCGATTCTTTTCATTTACATTCCCTTCATTTTAAGGATCCGTTATGACTTGCCCTTCAAGATAATCAAAGTTTATGTGACCCCACCCCCCACTATAATTATCCACCAATCGAATCTGCGCGGTTTGTCCTCGGTAGCATTTGACATCCCAGTATTGTGTATCCATGAATTCAGCGCATTTTCCTTTTGCTTGAGCTATAACGTTTCCTCCAATCAAAAGCTCAGCTCGTTGATGTTGCAGAGTGCACCCTCCGCCAATCCGGAATCTGAGTTTGAAGCCCGGTATGATGAAAGGGGGTGACGTCATCGTTCCTGTGGGTTGATCTCCTTGTATTTTCCCACTTGGCTGGGAAGCATCGCGCCGGTCTTCAACCCCTCCTATCCACCAGTTACCTTGAAGGTTTGATGGATCACGTCCCCTGGCGGCGGAGTTATCTCCATATGTTGGTTGGTTCTTAAATACTGTTCCTGTGAGTGTCCATCCAGCCTTCCCACCATCCTCAAAATCAAAGATCGTTTCCCAATTTGATTTCACTTTAAAACAACAACATTAATTGTCACATACAGCCTTGATTGTTTTCACCCAGCGCGGCTTTGGGTCATTTCCAAGAAAATTATTCTTGAATGCTTTCAATTTCTGAAAGATTTTTCTCAACTGTTCCATTCAAATCTATTGCAACTGATTTTAAAGTCAATGAAATCTGTCTTCTCTCGTGTGTTGATCCTGTGGGGACGGGGGAGGGGAGATTCTTGACCTTTCCCTACTATGCTAAAAAGACTAAGAGTACGTACCAGACGAAGTAGAGTGGTACACGTAGAATATGATCAAATGTCTCAAGACCCCAAACTTGTTAATCGCTTCACATACGTATGTCCCACTGTCTCTGGTCTTTAGACCTCGTAAAATTATTGTCCCATTAGAAAGTACTGTGCTACCAACAGGGAGGGATCGTAGTGGTCTAGTCCACCTTACCACAGGGTAAGGATTACCATACGCTGTACACGTCATAGTGACGTCACAGGATTCAAATGCGGTTAACGAAGCTCTTGGTGTCAGCTTAAATACAGGTGGACCTGAGGAAAAGGAATTGAACAAAGAGTTACCAACTGATAGACTATTTGTACAACCGCTAGAGATAATGAAATGCTGTGTTAGTTACTGTTGATCCGTTGTATTGATCTGGTCGTCAAAACAAAAGAATTTCTCGTTCTCATTCATGAATATCTTTCTCAAGCTTTGACCCCCAGGTAGAATTTCTTACCCTGCACGACGAGCATGACATCCTGATGATCAGTTCCCAAGACATTCTTAGCCACACACGTCAAGTTCCCTGCATCACTGTACTGAACGTGTTTCACTATTACCCTTCCTGTCTTCGTAGTATTCCACTGAGAAGGTAGCTCTTTCCCATCTTGTTGCCATGACAACTCGGGTTTTGGGTTGCCTGTGGCAGAGCAAATAAACTCTGCTGATTGGTTAACTTGGACAGTCAGACGAGTAGGCGATACGATGGCGTTGGGTGCAGAGATTGACATGCCAGGATCTCCCTTGTCTCCTTTCTCTCCTTTCTCTCCTTTCTCTCCTTTAGGACCTCTTGGACCTTTTGGCCCAGGCAATCCCATCATCCCTCGCTTACCGTGTTGACCGGGTGGACCCATAGATCCTGGCGGACCTATATTAGACAAAGAAAATCTTAATCTTTGTGCTGGGATCATTAATGACGATATTGATATTAATCGCATTAATAATTATTGACCTTTTGGTCCAGTTCGTCCCCTTTTACCATGGCTGCCTCTTGGGCCCCTTCTCCCCATGGGTCCTGAAGGACCCCTGGATCCTTTAGCTCCTGCACAGCTTCTAAAGGGGCAATATTGTGTATTATTGAGGGACACGATCTGACGAAGTGTTTCTTGACGCACATCATCCAAGGTGATCTTTTTGGTAATTTCCCGGCGTTCTCTGCGCGCTGATGGATATAGGCTTGAATCACGTGACTGGGATGGCTGTCTGCCTGTAGGTAGAAAATTGGCATTAGACTCGTTCATGAACTTAAGTATAACTTCCTGTACTCTTCTATTTAGTAGGGAGGTCAAGGTACGATTGGTTGTTGTACATGCACTGATATAGAAAGTAGAAAAACTGCTATAAATAACTTAAGAACAAAGAAAAATCTCCCCATATCTCTCTCCCCCTGTACACTGGTTGCCAAGATACCGGTTGTATCACTAGCTAGCTGCACGACTCATGCAAGCTTGACAGTGATTGCTGTCACTTATGCCCTGTAATACGCTTTGCCTAGATGCGTCCTTCCTTAATAGGACGTTTGCCTGATGCATGGCGTCATTGACCTCTACTACCAGACTCCCTTGCACACTTTCTCTTGTTCAGTTAATTAGCACCAATTGTCTTATTATTCTCATGAGGAAATACAAATTTAAATAAGAACGAAAATTCGCGAAGCATCTTGGTAGTGGGAGTCAAATGACGCCATCATGCAAACGTCCTATTAAACCTTACTCTAGTCTCCTACGCAGCCGCTATTAGTGTCGTCACGCAACGCTCGCTCCCATAAGCTTACTCAAGATGGAAATAATCCATGCATGTACTTATCTCTATCGACATTTTTCAGTAGCCATCAATTAAAATAAAATTCATATCGTGATTGTGAGTTGAGTTTTCTTACCAGTGTTGATCAGTTGATGGACCTTGTCTTCAAGCTGTCTTACTCGAGCTTYCTGTTCACGAAACTCATTGAACATAATTTCATTCCTCGCGAACATCACCACACAAAGAACAAGACATACACTCGACAAGAATAACGACTGAGTCGACTTCCGTAGAAAACCATTTTTTGTTTGGGTTTGACGTGGTCTGAAGCTTATTGCGCTTTGTTTTGAGTCCATGTTGACACTAACATCAAAGGGACATGTCGTGACGAGGCATTACCTTGTCTTTTCTCGATTTACATTACGTCATAGGGTGCGATAAATCGACTTCAGCAATGTTTAGACTGCGTGCAGTCCCTGTATATTCCTCTTGGTCATTGTTCGCGGTGTTTGAACAGTGACCAAGAGAAATAACAAGAGTAAAAACCTAGCTGTAGAACGATAGTCTTACCCTGAGTGGCACCTATAGCAAATCATTAGTCACAAAATATCTATTGGAGGATGGCCACACAATTATAAAGGGTAAAACATTTGCGATATCCAATGTTATGTTTTCAAAAAAAAAAAAAAAAAAAAAAGATCAAATTTAAATCAACTTTAACAAAAACGTATTAGGCCTATAGCTAGGGCAAACGTCGAACTTTCCATGCACCGATAATGAGGCGGCATTCTTTGATGTAATTAAGTTCGGTGCATGGAAAGTTCGACGTTTGCCCTAGGCCTTAGTTATGATAATTAAATTATAAACATTGGATAAAAGCTGCGAATTGATTGGCCTAAAAAGCTTTCTGCGATCCAGGAYGAAGCTTATTCTCGTTCCCAGATCCTCCTCGGTTGTTGTTCCTCCCCGTCAGAGGCTCTGGGAAAACCTACAAATTATCGCAATTTGATTGGCTTTTAAGAAGAACAATAGATCTACTTTTTGATTGCATTATCGAAGACAAATAGATGTTTTGTTCGCCATTTGTAGATTTCACAAAGCCAAAGGCTTGTCCATGCTTGTCTTTGCTTGTCTTGGAAAGAGTTCGAGCATGCGCCGTGAGGACGTGGTCGCAATATTCCTTGCTTCCGGTTGTAGGGTTTCTCAGAGCCTCTGACGGGGAGGAACGAAAACCGAGGAGGATGATCTGGGAACGGTAATGGGATGAAGCTACAAAATTCAGAATTTAGATTCAAAAATCACGATTTAAAGTTTGGGACATGTTTTATTATTATTATTACGATGTTGATAAGGAAAATAGAAAAATTAATCTAACCACGTGGTTGCTACTAAAATAAACATATGAGAAATATCCAATGCCTAAACGACATTCAAAAGTTTAAGCTTACTGATGTATGTAAGCTTACTGATAACTTTTAATTACTAATTCGTTTAGACAACTGATTATACATATACCAATGAAGTAAATAGAGTTTTGGCTCATGCTTACATATGACCATTTATTATATAGTTGGAATAGTACGCGCGCGCTGATTGGTCGTAAACTGTGCTTTAATAGTGAACGAAACAGAGTGTTGACGCCATCTGCGCGCGCAAAGTGCTGCTATACATCCTGCGACCGTCTTTATTTTTGCCTAAATAAATTCAATACCGAAATATAATTAATAACTATATAATAAAACGAATAAAACAGCTTTTTGCGTGCTCCTTTCATTGATAAAGCACTTAGGAAGCGCCGTAAGCACTCAAGAAGTGTTTTTGCTGTTTTATCTGTTAATTACTGTAGAGACCGCATAATAAGTTATGAATGTGTAGTAAATACTAATTTATAAACAGCTATCATATTTTACAAACGTAATAAATTATATACTGTATATGTGACGTGAGAGGTACACCTCTGTACCATTAAAAGTTCATCATGACTGGCATGTGAGAGCCAGGTACAACTCCCCTGTACCATCAACAGTACATCTGGGAACATAGGTTCTGCTGTAGACAAGTGACTGGCATGTAAGATGTACACACCTAGCCTCTGTACCATCAACAGTACATCTGGGATCACAGGTTCTGCTGTAGACAAGTGACTGGCATGTAAGAGGTACGCACCTCGGTAACATCAACAGTACATCTGGGATCAAAGGTTCTGTAGATAAGACAGACAGACAGACAGACAGACAGACAGACAGACAGACAGACAGACTGACAGAAAACTTTATTTATACACGGTTAAAACATCAGTTACATCCTAAATTCAAATAAGTTAAAATTAAAACTGGTTTACCTGTTTGCCGTGTGGGAGTCTGATAACGAATAAAATTTGTCAAGTCCTTTTTTAAAATGATTGAGAGACTTTGACTTTCTCAAGTCAATGACAATCCATTCCATAACACAGAGCCACTGTAGCTGAAGCTACACTTACAGTAGTCAGTTCAAGGTTTAGGAACATTAACCTTGTTGTCGGATTCTCTAAATTGATAAGGAGTATTTTTCATGGTGAACAAGTCTCTTAAGTAGCTGGCCGTGGGACTATTCAGAGACTTGTACATAATATGACAGCTTTTTGTTTGCTCCTTCTAATATGTAATTTATCTAATTCGAGTCTTTTGAGCAATAATTCTGAACTAGTATCATAGCCCGAGCAAGTGATAGCTCTGACTGCACGATTTTATAGTTTTTGCAAATTACCACTAAATTGCTGAGATAGTCCATCCCAAACAGAACTACGATAATCAAAGTGTGGCTCAATTAAAGCCTTGTATATTGTTATTGCAGTGTGTTGACTCGCTTGAGTGCACCAATTCCCGAGGGAATCTTTTTTGAGATTTCACTAATATGGATTTTCTATGACAAGGTGTCGTCTATGTACACTCCAAGAGATTTAGTATTATCAACCTTTTTTATTTGTTCATTATCTACTTGTAAGGTGATGGTACTATCTCTTTGATTTTGTAGCTTTTCGGGCGTGAGCCAATAATCATGAATTCGGTTTTAGCAATATTTAAGCTCAATTTATTAGCTCTAAGCCAGGTATGGATATTTTGAAGTTCTAAATTAATTTGAGTTTGAAGATTATTCATTGTTAAGCCTGCATAGCTAATATTTGTGTCATCAGCGTACATTCTAGGTATACCTTGTGTAAGACAATTCGGTAAATCATTTATGTATATTAAAAAGAGCAGAGGACCAAGTATTGATCCTTGAGGAACTCCGCAAGTTATAGGTCGAGGACCAGACAGCAGATGATTTGTATAGCAATGCTGTGTTCTATCGCTTAGATACGATTTGTACCAACTTAATCCTCTTTCTTCAACTCCATAACATTCCAGCTTCCGGATGACAATTTCGTGTTTGATAGTATCAAAAGCTTTCTTGAGATCAATAAGTACCACGCCATTTAGAAAGCCTTTGTCTGTGTTGACACACCAGCTATTAGCAGCCTCAAGTAGAGCTGTTAATGTGATATGTAGTGAATGAAAACCGGATTGACATTTTGTTAACAAGTTATTGTTATAAAGATATGCATACAATTGATCATTTTTTTTTTTTCAAAAATCTTAGCAACTACGGGGATGACAGATATTGGGCGATAATTATTCATATCAGACTTGGAACTCTTTTTAAAAACAGGCGTTACTCTTGCTAATTTTCATTCAGTCGGAAAAACACTGAAATTGATTTATTAAATATCTCTGTTAACGATGGTGTCACAATATCAGCAGCCATTTTGAGAAGTTTACAAGAAATTCTGTCAAGCCCTGTTGYTTTTTTGCCGTCAATCCTACTTATTAACTGAAGGACAGTTTGAACGTCAATCTTTTTAGATAAGAATTTTGTTTCGGTTGGTTTTAAAAAACTTAGCGCTTCAATTGTAGTTTTAGATATTTCACGGGCTAAATCAATACCAATATTAGCGAAATGGGAGTTAAACGACTCGGCAATGTCTAATGCAGAACTTAGTGTTCGATTTCCACATTTTGGTTACTTTGCGTTGACGATTTTGCAGCTCATTAATGAGCCTCCATGTTTTTCTTGGATCCTCGTATTGGCATCGAGATTGTCTGTGACTGGCAGTGAGAGCCGGTTCACACCTCTGTAACATCAGTAGTTTTTCTGGGATCACAAGTTCTGCGGTAGAGAGGTTTCTGCCATGCGAATGTTGTTGCTTGAACGTTGTTCGAATTCTGGTACATCTCTACAGCACTTTAAAAGATTTATCAAAGCTCTTCTATAGTTTGTACTTTGAAAAGCGTAAATAATCGGATTGATACAAGACTGCACGAATAGACACTGAACAGAGAGATTGTATGCAGACTGACTCGCCACTCCCGAGATCTTCAGTGGCCAAGTAATCGAAAACGCTCCGAAACAAACCAAGAATAATGTGGTAACTACCAAAAGGATGATTAGAATCTTGCGTCTACTGCGAGCGTCCTCGTCTTGGGTTGTAGGGTTGGGATTCACTGAGTTTGAAAAATACATCTCTTTGATGATAGCCACGTAACAGAAAATTATGATCACTGAAGGAATAACGACCAACAAAAACCCGAGAACGAAGATATACGTTAGCTCCTGCTTTAAGCTCCAGCCGTAATCGCAAAAGCCCTTTTTGTCATTGAACGCACTTCGTACAAAAAGAGGAATGTTAAGAATGGTCGCTAAAATCCAAATCAAAGTCAAAGCATATTTTGTATTACTAGTGGTTAAGCGTCTGTTCGTTGCCATTGGTTTTACAATCGCGTTGTATCGCTCAACAGCAAGTAAACAAAGTGTAAGCACCGATGATGTGCTCATGATACCAATCTCGTTCCCAGCCGTTACAAACTTACAAAGCCAAGTTCCTAACAAACCTTCGGGATGGTTGCCAACTTCAAGTGCGACAGCATTCGGGATCCCGAACACCAAAGTCAAAAAGTCTGACAGTGCGAGATTCGCGAAAAGAAAATTTGTTGTCGAGTGAAGTGTTTCAGTCTTCCAGATAACTCGGAACGTAAGAGAATTGCCCATTATTCCCGTCAGACAGAGAATGATAAATATAACACCAATTATTACATCAAATACTCCTCGTGAGCCGGTTTTCGTGTAGGGTGCAAGAAATGACTCGTTTTTCATTCCGTTTCTTGATGTTAAGGAAACAGCATCGCTGATGTTTTTGTAAAATTGGCTGATATTCATTCTTGTTGTCTTTGGCTTTCAAATTAATCGACTGATAAAGCGTTGCCTAGAAATTTTTTTGCCGTTCGAGTTCTAAGCTTCTTTTATCAAAAGCCGGATGCGTAAATCCAAAAAAACAAACACAGACATTCTTTTCAATCAACCCAGTTAATTTGCGAATGTTTGAAGTACGTACTTTTTAGATCTCAAAACAAGAAAGTGCGGTAAGTATTCTTGACTCAGTAAAAGATCACTTTAAAAGATAGGTCATCCTTAACTTCAAACGCCGCGATTGCATATCATTGGTAAATTGATAATGATACTAAGCAGGTGTAACATAAGCTTTTATTTGAAATATTCGTCCAGTGAAAGTCACCTGTAGCTTTCAAGCAGCATGAACAACGAGATGTCAATTTATGGATCAAAAACATGGAAAATAGCCAACTGGCATTTCAGGAACTCCAAATTCAACCCTATCAATCATAAATAAAATATGAATACAAAGTGAGAAAGAGAAGTTTTTTTAAAAAACTGAATCAAGGACAGATTTATTGATTGGTGTTTTTCTTGCATTTCAAATGATATTAGAGAGTTTTAGATTGACTTTTTCTTCTCCCCGCAAACGGCAAATGTGACCACATTTTCATAGTTTTCCTTTATTTTACTTTACCTTTTACAAACCTTCTCACCATACGCAAATACTCTTTTGTTTTTCTACTACTTGGACTTTTTTGCGATTCTTTTTCAGTAATTTAAAAGAATTTTTTACTGGTCAACTGACGTTTCACGTTTTGCCGTGAACGTAAATCTAAAACTCTCTAATAACTTAGTTTGTGCGCATGCAGTGTCTCATTTCGTTACTCCCTAGCTATACCCTTAACGAGTGATTTCTTTGGAAAGTCCTAAAACAGATGACATGTGATCGTCTGATATGGGAGAACGTTGCTAAATTAATTTAAATTAGTCAAATATTTTCGATGACAATGACAGAATTTAATCTGAGAGGTTTGGATTGATCCGAGAATTGCTCATCGATTCTGTCTTTTCCTTATTTAGTAGATGTAGTTTGAATTCTGCAATTTTCCTCACTTCTCGATCAAGAAATATCCTCCTCTCTTTTAATAAAGAAGCAGTTATGATAGGAAATACGGAAAAAAGGTTTTCGTTATTAATTACATAAATTACTTAATATTTTCGATACTCTTCGTCTGTTTATATTAGTTATTTATATAAGTAACAATGCAATAGTTTAAAATAAATACGAATAGAGATTTCTTATAGCCAAGCAATCTTATTTGAATTGTAATTCTTAAATATCTTATCTATTCATTTGGTTAATCATATATTTGCGATGAATTATTGATTAAGAAATAGGATTAGAGATATCTTGGTAATACTTTTAGCCATTTTATTTAATTTGTAAATTCTATTATTAGGTTTTTAGATTTTTGGTATCTTGATTTTCACATCACATGTTAAGGTTAATATCCGTTTTTTTTGTCGGCTTTAACGCTTATATCATTTTGTAGCGATAGTATACGAATCTCGCATGTTTTTGTTGGCGAAGATTAAACAAAGCATTGAACATCCGATCAGTCGTCGCTGAATTTTGGCTAACTAATTGAACTAATTTAAAAAAATCCATTATCCAAATCAAAATAGATTAGCAAGTAAGTTTTAAAGCCATAAGCTACCATTATATTATTTTAAACCATTAGCAAAATAATATGAAAGTCACCGCCCATAGATCTTTTCATCTGAATGTTAACAGACAATCTAGAATAAAAAATGAGAAGAAAGAGTAGAAAACACACAAAGTGATCGAGTGCATCATGATCCACAAACAGCTTATAAAATTAAAAGCTTATAAAAAGCCGTGAAAAAGAGAGAACTTAATGGACCAATGTGGCGACGAAGAGGAGAGTGAAAAATGAAAACAGAGTGGAGTGGAGTGGAGTGGAGTGGAGTGGAGTGGAGTGGAGTGGAGTGGAGTGGAGTGGAGTGGAGTGGAGTGGAGTGAAGTGGAGAGGAGTGCAGTGGAGTGGAGAGGAGTTAAGTGGAGTGGAGAAAATTTAAGTAACATTTATCATTTANCGTGCAAAATTTTAGCTAGGGTTTTGCCCTTTTGTCATGTATGGTTCCTCAATACAATTTTGAAGGTTATTTAGCGGTTTTGAGCTGTATTTGTGTGTACGCACACCGTGGGCTCAAACGGAACCCCAGGCAGTCATCTTAAAGTGATTATGGCCTAAAGTGATTATGCTAATCAGTGACTTCTCATACATGCATACTAGTGAGGCCATTGTGAATAGAAAAGTTAATTGAAGATGTACTTCTTGTTTACCTCGTATCTGCTTGAAGGTCCATTTATCTCTGTTCTGATGAAGTCTATTTGAGACAATTGCACATTGATGTAATGACTTTGCTATTTTGTTTTTTCTCATTGTTAATTAATGGATAAAGTAACAAGTGACAAATGTAGAACACGATCGAATGGAATAGAATAAAATAGAATAAAATGGAATGGAGTGGAGAGGAGTGGAGTGGAGTGGAGTGAAGTGGAGAGGAGTGCAGTGGAGTGGAGAGGAGTTAAGTGGAGTGGAGAAAATTTAAGTAACATTTATCATTTATTCAAATTTTTGCATACAATCTTTTATATAAAATTATCTTATAAAACATAATAATTCGAAAATCATTTCATGTGCGCACATAGCAATACCATGTACTTCCGACGTCATATGTCTAATAGGCTCAAACATAAAACTTTAGTATCTGAACGCACTGGATCTGGAGGGCGGTGCAGAGGCTGCGCGTTTAGGTTGCGGGAAAGTCACGTGGAACCATTCTTCGTAATCCTCTTCTGACATCTCTACAACTTTTTCTCGTACAAACTGCAAAACAAAAGATATGATCAGATACAATATATCCTTTTAAAAAATGGTCGCCTCTTATTTACATATTTTCAAATTTAATGCTCCAAGAGAAATGAAACATGTCAATAGAAAGAAGATATTATAGCAATATTATAGTGTTAGTACTTGTAGTGATGACGAGAATAGTGAACGACACCAACCAGCTGATATGAAATAGTGACGTATAAATGACGTCAATGCTAAACCGAGGTGTCAAGAAGTCTGCGAAAGTTGGCCAAAGAAAAATAATTGCAATAAAATATGAATTTTGTGTCACTGTTATCAAGCACTTATAAGCAAGGTGACTTTTGTCATTTGGTGGCCTAGAAATCCAAAATCTCAAGAGAAAAGTGACAACTCAGTTTTGCAAATTTTCTTGATTTTGATGGGCTAATATATTTTCTCAGATCAGCTGCGGAAAGTGAGGCTAGTCAGGGCTCATGGGCAAAATATGATACTAATGTCTGTAAATCCATTCCGTAATAACTAAAAAATAAATATATGCTCATTGAATAATTCTTTACCTCTATCGCAGCACTGATATCTGGTGAGCAGATCTCCCATACGCGAAGGGTTGATAAAACTTTGATGAATTGACTTGAGCTGATCTTTCTTCCTTCGAGCTGAAATTGTTGTTAGTCAGATTGGTTATCGATTAAGTTCCAACGACTTATCGATTTACCCGATATCAATACAACGCCTATTGATTTATGGAATAGGTTTTGTATGTAGGAATGTGCAAAACGTGACGCATTTTATGTGATGGTGTCGAATGAAATGCGAATGGTTATCGATTCATCCGATGCATTTGCTTCGTACTATGACGATATTAATACGACGCCCAATTATTTATGGAACAGGTTTTGTATGTAGGACTGTAATTATAAAAAACCTGACGACTGTTATGTGACCGTGTCGAATAAAATTCGACAGGTTATCGATTCACCCGCTGTACCATCATTGATGTTAACACCACGCCCACGGATTTATGGAACATATTTTGTATGACTGTGAAAAGCGTGATGACTATTATGTAACCGTGTCGCATGAAACCCGACAGGTTATAGATTCATCTGTAGTACCATTTGATGATTTTAATTAACCGTCACGCTCACGGATGATCTAGCAGATTATTTACAGTGACGACTGTGATTTGACACTTTTTGATATCGTGATTCAGTCTCGTGCTGTAATTTGTTCTTAGTGTTCTTATGGTGTCATTAGGCCCAAAACGTACAGATACTCTGATTAACTCTAGCAGCAATATCTAGCTAAATATTGATAAAATCCCATGGTATTAGTTGTAAAGATTACTTACCGAACCATAACTTGCTAGCTTGTTTAACACCAGTGTACAGCATAGATCATCCTTGACTTCCTCAGGCAAATTATCAATCAAGTCCTTGTACCTGCACGAATATAACGATATAATAATTAAACAGGGCGATGGATTGATTGAATTGAGCCGAATTATCAAACGGGCCAAAACTGGTCTAACGATCCGAACAAAAAGAACAGAGGTAATGGACTACTTCGAAAATGCGGCGGCCATATTGAATCACAAGGCATCTAGGGGGCAAAAAGACAAAGCTTTGTTACATTAATGACGTGGCATCGATTGACATTAACGGTTCACAACAAGACAATTTGACAAGACATGAATTTTTAAAAAAATTCACTGTTCTAAAACTGAGGAAACTTCTCAAATATCGCTAGGTCGTCATACATTTCCGCATCTCTGTTTTGTTTTGACCTCTGGACGACCCATAATGCCTTGCGATTCAAGATGGCCGCTGCATTGTCAAAGAAGTATATTCTGGGCCGACAATACGGGTTTATACTGGCGTCTCTCCTCAATCAAACTCAGGGAAATCGCGATATATTTTAGGGGTCCAAGAATTTAAAAGATGGGAAACCATTACAAAGGTTTTACCAGGAATGCGAGGAAAAGGGGGTGCATTACTAAGGATAATACTGAGAATATTGAGCAAAAAGGGTGTGGCTAGCCAGCCCCTTCACCACCCCTGGATCTAACCCTGGGGGTCAATACAGAAACGTAGTGGTGAGCGCAAATCACAATGATTTTGTTTACTTACCATTTACATTCTTCACTGACTCGTTGTCTCATTTCTTCATTTGTCTCGTCATCAAATACTACACTCTTGGACCTCATTTTGTCCAGTGCTTTATACATGCTATTGAACATCTCTAAACACATCAGTTTCCGTTCTAGAATCTGTAAACGATTTCTGTTCAGCAAGAAATAGAATATAGTATAGATAAGTTTAGCTTTTGCGAAAGGAGGAACCCTGAAACGTAGCAGTTTGGGGGTTGATCTAAGTCAGTACACGCCTTTTTCGTGCCCAGACTTTGGTCAGCCCAGAGGTCGTTTTAATGTTAAATCTTTGAGTTAGCCGTGCCCTGACTGTGATCAGCCCAGAGGTTGTTTCAGGATTTGATCTGTGCGTTAGCCGTGCCCTGACTTAGATCGGTCCAGCGGTTGTTTCAGGGTAATATCTGTGAGTTAGTCATGCCCTGACTTAGATCAGCCCAGAGGTTGCCGGTTTGTGGGTTTGACAAATATAATGATACAATATAAGAACACCCCACTGAACTCGACCAGCTTCCAGCTTACCTGTCTCTGATCTCTAGGTTATCATGTAACACCAATGCTTTCTCTTCTGCTACTTCTTCAAACTTGGACTTCATTTCCACAGGTACTTTGTCTACGTGATGATCCAAAGTGATGGTGCCAAATGCAGCGATCGCAGCAGCAGCGAACCTGGGAATTGTAAGTAACATAAATAAGCACAATGGACTACTTCAACGATACGGCGGCCATTTTGAAAGGTAACCGTGCCTTTCAAAGTGGCGCAGGGAACTGTGAAAGAGAGTATTGAAATTTGGGGCGTAAAGTTTTACCATTCAACGCTACATATTATTCCCTAGAGTATCATTTCCTTGTTTAACGGTTGTGCATAAGACGACATATAGATATGGAAACAACTCAAACGAAGAATCTTACTCTAAAGGGAATTAAACCCCAAGAAAGTTTTTTACGCCATTTAAAAGGGTTCTTTCTAAGCATAAGCGCTTATATATAAGCACATAACCATAAGCATTTCTATGAAAAAATTCGTCAAAAAAGCTTCTTGCTTACCTCTTTGCATTGATAGCACCTATAAGAATAAGCAAAATACAATGTCAGTACACATAAGATAAAAACAAATAAAAGCACTAATAAACGAAAAAATGAAACCATTGAGCGAGAGTAAAACCAGGAACATGGAGACTGGGTTCTAGGGAATAAGCTACCACGTGACTTACCTGTAGCTTGGACCCAGGCGCTGACGCGTGAGTCTCTTCTAGTTTGTTGATCTTCTTGTCCTCCAGAGAGCTTATCAAGTTCTTTTTGCTAAAGAATCGTTAAAATTTAATATGTTGTATATGCGCCTAAAGGTTACAACAAGTCTAGATAATAACAAAAAGAACAACAAACAAACAAACAAACAAACAAAAACAAACAAAGAATAATATAACACAGTGGCGTATCCAGGATTTTTCAAAGGGGGATTCCGTTTTTTAAACTGGGTATAATTCTCTTTTGTTTAGTCGATGTTTGACAAAAAAATTGGCTCTAATCACCTAATTTACTATCTAGTAACGGAACTTAAATGTAAATTCAACATTATAACAGCAAATATCTATCATTTCGTGTTCAACATTATCTTTGTGGATACTTTTAAGCAAAATTTATATAAGACATATTTCTATTACCTAAAAGATCAAACCTTCAAGGGGGGTTCCGTGGACCCCTTCGACCCCCCCCCCCCCGGATCCCGCCACTGAATAGAATTAAAAACACAACGAAACAGGATTGAATACCACACAGAAATACTTACCGACAAAGAGCTCTTAAACGCTTTAGCTGCTCGATTCTTGGCTCGTATTTTCTGAAAAGCTCGGCTAGCGTTGGCTGGTGGTGTATAAACAGTTGTAACGGTGAAGGATTTCTGTCTTTGCAGCTTCGATTTCTTCTCGGCTGGTGAACCATTAGTAGGAGGTGAGGCTTGGGCAGGAGGTGGAGCGCTGACTGCTCGTATGACTGGCTCGTTGAAGGAAACCGAGGCTACGTCATCAGCTAATCAAAGTTATAGAAATAGTGTTAGTAAACTCCTTTCAGATCGATAATGGATTAGACGAAATTCAATTGTTCCTGCCTCCTGTCATGGCTGCCATCACGTGATGGTGCAAAGCCTCTGTTCAGTCCAAATTTCAATAGAGCGAATAGAGCCAGAAACGTCGAGAGATGGAAATGAAAGATTCCTATACTTCTTGCATTTCAACGTTAATAAAGTAACAAAGATAGAGAAATACATGAAGACAATTTGAGAGATATTCGACAAAGGTGGTGCAAGATATCTCTTTCTAGTGGGGCGCGCAGACACCGAGAACCTTACGGTACGAAGCGCTGGTGTGAGAGATCTCTGGGACCCAAGTTAATAAATAAAATGTCAGACGATATTTAAACGTAGCGTGTTTTTTTAGCTCGTGATACAAAAATTTCCAAATGAATTTCCAAAGACGGAATACTACATTGGACTAGTTCGACAATACGTTGGCCATCTTGTATCGCAAGGCATTATGGGGCATCCAGGGGTCAAATAAAGCTTTGTTACAGTAATGACGTCGATACATATTAAAAGCTCACATCCACATCAGTCACCTTTACCCATAAAAGAAAGACAAACACATGAAACTCTATATGTTTTCCGTCATCTTTGTTTTGTTTTGCCTCTTGGCAAGGTGGCCAACGTATCGTCGAAGTAGTTCATTGAATTTATCGAGACACTTACGAATTTTTGGATTCTCTGAGGTTGGATTCTCCACGCAAATATCGTCTCCATTTCGATGGCTGGAAGCATCGAACTCGACGTGGGCTGCCGCAGTTGTTGGTTCCCCCACCACACTTCCTCTGTGTGATCTGGACATTTCTCCAGGAGACAGCCTGATTACTGGTATATTTGGTCGAGGATTGGAACCTCCAGAGCTACCCGTGTTGGAGAGGCGTTGGAGAAAGTTGGGATGGATGGAAATGCGTCTTGTTCCTCGTCTACTCGTTGAACGCTAAATAACAGTATTGGGCTTCATTCAAAAAATTGGTGCGACAATACAAGCGTCATGCAGTTCAAACACTAATGGATTGGATGTGACTGAGATGGACTGGATGTGACTGAGATGGATGGGATGTGACTGAGATGGATGGGATGTGACTGAGATGGAT